CCATGTGCCCGGGTGAGAGATTGTCAACATTACGACTACAACACAGAACATGACCTCCGCGGAGTGTCTGAAGTGTTAGATCACTGATGGAATGCACACATTCACACATCCACCGTCAAACAAACGACAAGAGCCGCAAGGTCAGGGTTAAAGTTGACCTTTCACTCCGACGGTGAAATTCAAGCTGTAGCTTGCAAAAGCTGGGACTTCACGCTCCCATAAGATCCAGGTTCATTCTTAGTAGTGGCCAATAGGCGTTCAAGCGCTGAATACCAACAAAGTGGTCTCTCACACTCTGCAGAGCCGGTAACTTTATCACAGCTGCAGCATACCGAGACGCAGGAGGAAGAATTTCAGTGCCAACAGTGGGAGCCAACACACACTGGGGCTGTTTCCTGTTTGGACCACCTGGACCAGAGTGTTACTCCTGACACTGAAGCAACATTTATCTCCAATGAAGTTCAGGCGTTATTGTCTGACAGGTCAAGTGAGGTCAAAGGAGTATAAGATGGGACTTTTCACTGGTCACTGATTGATTTTGTCCTATTCTTCCACAGCAGCTGGTGGGGAGACTCAATGACCTGGGTGAATGGCTCTTCATTTAAAACCACACTGTGTCTCCCTGGGGTGCTCATTAGAATGAGACAATGACAATCTCTGGGACAGAGTGCGGGCACCATGGTGTGACAGAGTCGGGCGCCAGAAAAGCGGAAATGATTCAGCTGCATCATGGGGAGTTTTTAATCACAGGACACGTCAAGAAAAACATGTTCCATTCATCTAAAATATGACTATTTTATTGGTTTATGGGATTTCAAACATCTGGCTGGTGGGCCAAAAATCGGCCTGCTAGGGGGTTAAATTTGGTCCACTGGATACATTTTTAAAGTGAAAAAAATCCACAGAAACTACATGTTAGTCATGTTTTGTCAAATGATATTTCATTAAATATAAATATATTTTTTAACATGCTTGAACTATATGAAAACAAAAGGGTAAAAAACATGGACTTATTGTTATTTATATGTAATTATGTTATGATTGTACTGGTCCGGCCCACTTGACATCTAATTAGGCTGTATGTGGGCCTGAACCAGAATGAGTTTGACAACCCTGGTCTAATCCTTCAAACTCTAGAATGTTCAGATCTTCCGACATTGACCAGAAGACGTTTACAGCTTCCGTTGCACGTTAGAATTTCTACAGCCGTACAATCGACCTTCTGAGTTCACGGAGTTCTTTGAGTTACGTCGCACTCCCTCCCTTCTGCGAACATTTGCAACACATCTACGGCCAAATGTTTTAGAATCTGTCTCAGTTAATCAGATTTCTTGCCTCCACTCTGTGTGTCATCTTTTTCCACTTGCTCCTCAGTGGACTACAGTCGACGACTACAGTCAGACCTGCAGGTGTCTTTGAACAGAACTGGAGTTCTTCTTGGTCTGCGACCGCAGAAACCCAGGAATGTTCCAGCATTCCTGTGTATGATTTTAATCTTGTTTTTACACTTTAATCACAGACTAGACCCAGTCATTTACAAGTGTCTGGGTGGTTCCGCTAAGGTTTGATGAAACTTGTGAAGACTTTACACATACAATCATCTCCATTTTTTTCCCTGTCATACTTATAAAGAAACTCCTCAACCCTTAAAGAAATCCATGTATAGCTGGAACATGTGACTGATTTGCAAAAGCTTTTGCATCAATTCAAAGGTATCACCGCTAGTATCGATCTAGAATGTAAATTTCAAAATAAAGTTCAGCTGACTTTGGCATTGCAGGTTTGTGGGACAGTTATGTCTCTGTATGCAGAGTAGATTATTGTAACTGTCCTGGGTGTATTTGTTGTTGTTGTATTTGTTTTTAATAAATGAACAATAACAGGATTCTCTTGACAAAAACAAAAAATATTTAAAATAACTGTTTCCATCGGTGGATCAAAGTTCACTCCTCTGACAACCAAAGACAAACAGCCCTTATCTGACTGAAACTACAGCTATCTGCACAGAGCAGAGTCGGGATGTTGGGCAAGTTTTTGAGGTAAAACGCACATAAAACAGTTTTAAACAACATATCGAATATACGAATATTACCATTAATTATTATATTAAATAATAATAATAATAACCAGGCGTTGGACACCATAGCACAGTGGGTTAGAGTACGTGAAGGAATATAATGTAAATATAAACTGATTGGTGAACGATGAGAAATACAGTCACTGTAAGCAACAAAACGGAGAAACGCGGGTGATTTTTAACTGGTCGTCGCTCTACGCGGTTGACTAAATTAAAACAAATACATTAAAACCCCACTGTGACTGACGACGAAATGAAGGAGAGGAAATACAAGTAGTGTTTTCACGTGCAGCTACCTTACTGTTGTCACAGCTAGCTGCGACTTAGCAGGAAAACTTCACCAAAAGAAAACTTCACCTACCGAACTTGACAACTTCTTCTTCTCCGGCCACTCACGACCTCCGATAAAAACAAAAGCGTCTCCGTCGTTTGCTGGCGTTAAAACTGCACGTCACTGCATTGAATTTCCCTTTTTCACATGATTAAAACAGAAAAAGAGTTGAAACACGCGCAGATAAAGTTCCCCCACACAGCAGGTCATCAGCTCCGACTGATTCCAACTCCCAAACAGTGGAGCTGCATCTTTGAACGGCTGGGAAGAACTAGCAATGCGTTCAGGTGCTACCGGAAATGTAGGAAATTTTAGCAACCAACGCAATTCAGCGATATAAGAAACAAGGTAGTGTGTTGTGTTTGACGGTGGATATTTTATAACACATACATATTTACGAATGTTTTATTTTTAATCCAATTTTAGTAACGAGGATAGAAATTATAATTTCCTTCAAAAAAAAGAGAATATGAACATTCATCGTAGGTTGTATTTTCCTTACGGAGGGTAAGTGAACGCATCAGAGACAGCCAGTTTTTGACAGGCGTGCCTGTGTTGTGAAAGTCCGGAGTTGTTCCCGCACATCCTCACATCTGGCGAGAAAGGCTTTATCATTCAATTTACAAGAACAACGCTCAGGAATGTGTTTCGAGAAATATTATAATTTTTAATATTTTTTTTTTTATTTTGTTTTTACCCAAATTATTTTTACTTTCGTGGTTATGTAAAACCGATGACAGGCCTGTGAATGGACGTAACAAATAGTCACCCTGCCAATTGCATTTATGAGGGTCAGCCCATTGGAATAGCTAGACTACAAAGACTGACTTCAGTGACCCAATTGACTGGATAGTAATTTATGTGTGAGTAATTAAATAGAGAGAGGCCCCCTCTGCCTTGTTCCCCACACATATTATCTCGAGATCCACATAGAGTTCCAGAATAAATTAAAAATAAAAACTAATATACTTCATGTCACTGTGGGCCCGTGTAGCAACCCTTTTTTAGGATAGTTTGTACATTTATCAAAAGTACAACTAAAGTGAAATAAAACATCAAACCGGTAGTTTAACTGTCAATATCATCAACTCTAAATACGTCGTTTGTAGCTTCGGCTAATGTGTCGCCTGTAGGAGGTTCTGGGACGAGTATTTACCAAGCCAATGTCGCCATCTGCTGACAGAAATGCAGTTTTGCAGGTATCCAGGCTATGAGTCAAGTGCCTGTCGTTTTGGACTAATAATCCGATATTAGTGAATAAGATTATATTGTCATATCGATGTAAACTTTAATAAACTAAAAAAGTAATTTTTTTTTCAACGAGTTGATGAAATAAAAATAAAGATATGGGTCGTGGACCTTTATGAAAATATATTGAGACTAATATTACTCATCGATTATGAAAGTACTGTATATTGAGACTAATATTACTCATCGATATTCAAAAGTCGAACTGGCCAAAAGTTACCGTGTTACGTAATGGATTGAATGAATTAGGAAAAGGCAAACTCCAACCAATATCAATAAAAACTACTACAATAATTTAAAAAATGTCAAATTACCAAAACAAAAATCTACAGGAACAAAAAAATCAAATTACCAAAACAAAAATCTACAGGAAATTGGCTGAAACCTTATAGAATGAGTCGTTTTTATTGCTAGGAAGATTCATGTGTAAACGCGAATGTTTACGTGCTGCTTCTGGGTGTGTGCTAACAGGTACCATCATAAAAGCAACACCTAAAATTCCGGTCATACCCAAGGACAACCTGTACTTACACAGTATGTCCTGAAGGAGTCAGGATTATGTCTGTGTCACAGAAAACAATCGGAATTTATTTTAAAATTAAAACAAAAACAAAAACTTGTGAGTATTTGTGTTGTATGGTACATATGGTACAGACGCGGTCGTTTCCTGGAACACAGAAAGTGAACGTGTTGAAACCAGGGTTAAACATTAGTACAGGTATGGAGTAAGTCTGTATGTGATGTAAACCAGACCAAGAGTTTTACTCCAAACACTGTGTGCCTCATAAAAACACAGCTCACAGAACTGGTTACTTGAACTGTACTGTGGAAAAAAACACAGACGTCCAAACGTATTACCTGCCAAATTCTATTTTCTTTAAAATCTTTATATGTCGAACGGAATATTTTCAAATTCTATTTTCTTTAAAATCTTTATAGAACAATATATATCTGTATAAAAGGTACTTTATGGTGGATTCAGCAGATCAATTTAAGCTAATTTTTTAGCATTTCTTAAAAAAAGATTGTGCAACAACGGGGGAAAAAATTCAGAGGATGAGAATATCTGGTTCTAGAAATTAGTTTTAAATTTAGTGGCAAAAATATTAATGAGAGCAAGCTTCTTTGGTTTGAAGTGTGCCTAGTTTTTAAAGTAAAAAAAAAAAGAAGAAGCATTTTCACAAGTATTCATGACTTCCTATTGAAACGCTAACAAACCTTGAAAACTGAAGATTTCCTCCCTAAAAGCGACCAAAGTTCAGTACATTTTACACTAAAATGTAGAATTAAAAAAAAAATCCTACTGTTTTCATTCAGTTAATCTTTTGAAAAACACTCTGTGGCTATTTTCCAAATTTTTTTTATTTAGTATGAACATCACGGAAAAAAAAAAAAAAAAATCTACGAGGAGTTCGATCAGGTAATATGTACAAACGTCAGACAACTTAAAGCTTTGACAACACTGCTGCTTGAGAAGGTTTGGTTTGTCGTGCCAGTTCCACTTTATCTAAAAACACTATAGACACGTGAAAAAATATTCTCCTCAAATAAAATAGCACTTTCCAAAGTCAAAAGATTATGTACAAAAATGTTAACATGTCATTTAGTGTAACAAACAGCATAAAAAAAAAGAAAACTAGAAGAGAGAAAAAAAAGCAGCAGAACTTTAGTGAGTGAGGGATCATTTTGGTGGATGTTATTAAGGCACAAAAAGAGATGGAAAAAACAAACAAAAAGAAACACAGACCTACTGCCAGATACGTTTGTGTTAATAAAACTGGTAATTTCTAGTAGCTATCAGATCAGGAATGTCACAGTAAAAACATGTACAAGAGTCCAGTCTGTCAGATAAACTACGTCTACCGACAAAATCCTCACCATGAACCTGAGAGTCACACACCTGACAAGTCGCTGCATTAATTACAGGCTAAAAGTCAAATCAATAGCGGCCCCATTTCTGCGTCCTGTTTACATCTATCCTTTAAAACATCCATATATGGACAAAACAAATAACGGCACTCAACAGATGTCATGTCCTCCGTCATCAATCTGATAACCACGCTCTGAAGGGAGGTGTGGGGGGCACCGGTGAAGGTCATCGGGGTCAGATGGGCTTGGTGGTGGAGTTGTAGACCAGACGCTCCCTGTCCTCCATGGTGGTGACGGGGATGGTGTTGGCCGGCACACGCTGGTGCTGCGAGGACTTCTTCTTGCCTTTGACGAAGCAGTAGCAGACGACGCCCAGGAGGATGACGATGGCTAAACCCAGCACGGCGGCGATGGCTATGATAGCTGTTCAACAGAAGACCAGGTATTTGAAAAACAGCTGATACAGATGTTAGTACGTGAGGATAATGAATAAAGATAAAAGAAAGAATTACCTGTCTGGTTGTCAGACGTCTGTTTTTCAAACTGATCTTTTCGGGCAAACACGTCTTGTTCTGCGATAAAAAACAACTTAACGTGATAAGTACCACAGTTGGCCACAGGGCTGTATATTGGCAAGAATCTGGCGATACGATATGTATCACGATACATGGGCAGCAATACGACATATTGCAATAGACTGCGATACTATAGGTATGACGATATATTGATGAGTTTGAAACATGCGCATTAGGCCTATAGTTAATTTACTGTATTTTTTTGTTGAGCCACCTGCAGGCAGAACATTAGAACTACACCATACACACTCAAAAAACAGAAAGCTGTTACCAAATGTATAAATACTCACAAAAAAAAAGCTGTTACCAAATGTATAAATACTCTTGCGTCGCAGTAATCCAACTCACCTGTTACACCACGACAAACTTTCATACAGGACTCCCGTTGGTCGAACTTGTTCTCGTTTCCCTGGCAGCCGCCGTAGTTGAAGCGGAAGCAGTCTTTCTGGACTGGGTTGTAGTACCACTTGGTGATACTGTCCCTGCAGCTTCCTGTGTCAGGAGGCTCTGTGCATCGCACTGAAAGAACACGGACAGATCACAAACATGCCAAGAGAGTGTATAATTTTATAAATAATTTCTTTTTTGTCTATGTAACGGCTACTGGCAGAACAATTAAATACAATATAAATAAATAGATGGCTATACAAAGTAAAAAAAAGGCAGCAGCTAAAGGAGATCTTCAAGTATGTCTCTTTCTTCAATTCCTGCCAGTATATCCCTGTTGTGTTCAACTAAATAGGATCAGGTTTCACACCGAGTAAGTAAATTGTGATTGTTGAAGATTATTATATTTAATTACATGAACTTGTTGGGATATTTTTGTTTAGTGGTGCGCTGTGGACTGTTTCTAACATGTGGCATCTGTGGAGGAACTTACCCTTCTGCTCATCCAGTGGAATCTGGAGCAGAATCCGAAATTTGTTCTCCACTAAAATGACACAAGACATAGTGTTAAATCAATATTTCTGCTGAGAAATGTTTTTTTTTAATTTATGAAAAAAAAAATCCTGCATGAAAACAAAGTTTGCATCGTCACTGCTCACAGTCTTCGCACTTCAGCTCGTCTGAGCCGTCGCTGCACTGCTTGGTCTGGTCACACTCCAGGCCGGGGTCCAAACAGCAGCCGTTTGCACAGGTGAACTGGTCTTCTGTACAGGGGGCGCCACATTTCTCCACCGCTTTAATAAAGAAGACACAAAACAAGCAACGGTGAAGGTTTTGGAAACAGTCAGTGGATCAAAAAGACACAAGGCTTAATGTGTGAAAAAATAAACATTAAAATAGAATTGAACAACAACAGAAACAACTGACCAGGTGCTGGTTCAATTGGCAGACCACGACCAGTACCAGTGGATTTTTCTGAAAGGAAAACAAAACCTTAAGATTATTTTATGTTACACTCTTACAGAAAGCTAAACGTTTCCTCCTATTAACAGCAGCTACAAAAACAGGTGAAACCAAAATGTGTGTCTGAAGGAGTGGAAAGACTGAGAATGCTAATTATTACCAATTAAAAAATTATTAGAAGTTAATATAACTCTGGATAAACTATCTCACCTGCCCACATTCCTTTAGCTGTATCCTGCTCATGAACGTCACACCAAACTTTAAACAAAATTACAAATGTATGTATTTTTTCCCCACTTTGGCATAAATAAAAGAACAGGAAAAAGGTCATTAATTTGTCAGAATCACTGGTATGTGATGGTATGTGATACTGGACTATTGAGCTTCAAATGAAAAAAATAATAACTGTACAAATATAGGCCGCACTTCTCTATAAGCCGCAGGTGTCCAAGTTGTAACATGGGATAGTTACAAAGAAATATATTTATTTTTTATTAAATAAATGCTTATTATTCAGAAATACCTATCACACATACTACTAAAACGTTATTTGTTAATATAGTTTATATAATATATAGTGTGAGTGTAGAGTGTTTCAGTTGTATGTGTGCGAGGTCACTCTGAATAATGTCCCTGACGGCCCCTCATAGTAACACGGCTGGTTACACGTTAGCTATTTCGCTGCCCTGACCGTCGTTGGATTGCACTGGGGAGACTTAGTGATCTGCGTCAGAGCAGAAGCTAACACTAGCTCCGCGGCTAACATTAGCTCCGCGGCTAACATTAGCTCCGCGGCTAACATTAGCTCCGCGGCTAACTCCCTTCACTTCGTGCTTGTCCGCAGCAGAGGTAAACAGAAACAGGGAAGTTGGGGTCTTTATTATCAGCCACACCGAGCACAACAGAACATAAACAGCGTTTTAACAGCTCCGGTATAACGAACTGACGTTTCAACTTGACAGGGCGACAACTGATCTCCACTTTCGCTACCGTACTCTCTCTCTCTCGCGCGACCTACACACATATACGCACACAGCCATTCACAGACAGACGTACGCTACTAGTGTAGCACACAGTAGCCCACCAGAAAAGTCATTGATCGCTAGCGGTATGAACTTCGTTAGATAAAATTCATAAATCAGACGCATCATTGTTTAAGCTGCATGGTTCAAAGCGTGTAAAAAAGTAGCGGCTTATAGTCTGGAAATTACGGTAAATGTGTCATGGTTAAAGTTATGTGTAAGATAAGATAAGACTTTATTCATCCCACACCAGGGAAATTTAGAGTTTTAGCCGAGGGTGTCTGTGTGTATTTTTCTGACGTTGTACTTGGAATTTCTACTTGAAGAATATATATTAGTTTGTATTTGCGGATGTTGTTCCCCCTAAATACTCTGTATACAGAACATGAGATGGACTTCACAGCTGATCCTGATACTAATAAACAACCCACTCTTCCCAAATGTCAACAAACACACGTGTGGGTGGAGCCTACTGATACCTGAGCCGTAACAAGCCCTGGTGCACTCATCCATGTTCAAGTAGTTGTTGAGATTCCCTTTGCAGCCTCCATAGGAGAACTCCTCGCACTTCTCTGAGGCGGCGTTGTAGTGCCACCGCGGGAAAGCTCCACGACACGGTCCGGCCTTTTTTGGAGCCATACAGTGGTCTGGAGGAGGCAGAAGAAAAAAAATAAAAAATAAAAAAGTAGGTTAGGTCAGATTTTTCAGGAAGTGAAACAAAAAAAACCCCAACACATTGTTGCAGCGTGGGACATTTTAAAAAGTTATTTATTTGTAAACTTGAGAAGTGTCTAAATGTAGACCTCCACCTGAGAGTCCAAGGTTTCAGAGTTAATGTCAGACCAGACGGTCAGGTGGTGTCTACAGTCTGGTGATGGGAAGTGAACCAGGAACAGTAAGTAGTCCAGTTGTCTGAGTGGTTTTTAACTTCATATTTAATAAATGACACTTGACAAAGGAGTCTGGTGTTTCAGTTCACAGACGAGTCCTTCATGAACGTCGACTCGAATGAAAACACACAGACGTGTCTGGGGACAAAGCTGTGGTTTGTCTACATGCGGCTGCTGTCTCATGTTGTCTGTCAATGCAAAGAACAAACTCCAGTTTCACACAAACCACAGTCTGTACATTAGTGAAACTGTTGGGCCGTTGTTTCACACGCCATGCAACAGAAGATTCTAGTTCAGTTTTTAAAACAGACACCAAGGTTTCCCTGCAGTCAAAATGTTTGGGGCGTTAGAAAAAAAATTGATACAAATATTACGATATTTCATTTCACGATACAGTATCAATATTCTACAGCAGAGGTCCCCAAACTTTTTTGGACCAAGGACTGGTTGGCAGCTATCAGCCGTTACTGCGGGCTGGTAGTACCGTGCCACCGTTGAAGGATCATTAAATTTTTTTTCTTCTGTTAGTGACCTTTGACCTGTTGTTCTGAAACATTGACAGATTATCCTTGAATGAAAACAGTAAAGGGACATGACTGGATTATTTTGGAATGAAGTAAATAAGTAAAACTGAAGTACATTTTTTTTCCACTTTGGCCTGGTACCAAATGACCTACGGTCTGGCACTGGTCCCCGTACCAGGGGTTGGGGACCCGTGCTCTACAGCACTGAATACATTTTTTTAAGTAACAATTAACATTTTATTTTACATTTATTCCAAATGTAGATCCCTCTGTTCCAATGTTAGTCACCTGATGTTAGGATGTAATACCAGGTCATTTAATCCAAAAATAGTTACATCGAGGACAACTGGACTCTCATCCAAGAACTGAAGAAGCCTCTTGGATGAGAGGTGTCTTACTTCGTCCAGTTGCCCTCCATGAAACTTATTTTTGGATACTATGTTGACAGTTTTCCTACAATTAATTTGTTTAATTCATTTTTTTAAACAATTAATATATCGTAATATATGGTATTGTTGCCCATGTATTGTAGTATGTATCGTATCGTCAGATTTTTGTCCAATACATACTACATGTTTACCCCCCCCTCTGACCCCCAGCTGCCACAGTGACCCCGCTGTAAGTCACAGCTTCGACCCCCAGCTGCAGTGACCCCGCTGTAAGTCACAGCTTCCCTTCTCTTCCTCTTACGTAACAAAAGTCGACTGTGGTTCAGCTGTTTTGTTATTCACACCGCTCATCAGTGTGGCGGCATTGACATGTAGAGTCACCGTCATGCCCACGCATTTCAATCTGAAGTACATTCCTGGGGCAGTTAATGTCGTTAATGGGTAACTGAGTCACTCAGAGTCTTTAAACGATGAGGCAGAAACCAAAGGCACTGTCACCGTTGAGAAGGGACAAAACTCCAGGTCGGACAAAAACTTGGGATCAATATCGAGGAAGACTCTGACAGTAGTGACTGCAGGTGTTCTTGTTTGTGCAACCTAAGCTGAAACCAGACTGACAGGTTGAGTTGGGTCGGGGGAGGAGCGGGTGGGACGGCAGCAGGGAAGAGGTGAAAACCACTCTAACCACTCAGCTCGTCTGTGTCCTGTGCACGAACGGAACAGAAATGTGCAGCGACCACATATTATCACCACGACTTTCAGTCTTGTGAGAAGAAAAAACAAGGCAGTTTAACTGGAAATAGAGTTAAGTACTATGTAAGTAGTTACAGTCAAAGCTAACAGCTAGCACCTCAGCGTTCCATAACAAAGACTCTAGTACAATAGTTTAGTCTCACTGCCAACAAAAGTCAGGTCAGGTTCAAACTCTCTCATATTATGAGCTTTTATCTTTCTATCTTTGTCTGGTTTCATCACAGGAACGACAGCGTGTCCTGACAGGTTTAATCACAGCTTTAATCACAACGTGAAACTGCTCAAGTGGCCGAGGCTGCGTGGAATCAGCAACTCCCGTCATCTTACGCAACAGGTACGTTTTTCCTAGGTAATAGAAAAGAATTTCCAGCGTTGAACTGCGAGAGATCGTCACATCTTATCTCTGGGCCAACCAGAGACTTAAGACGTCTGACGGTGAATAAGTCAAAAGAAATGTCAACATTCGCTGGAGCAGTGACTCAGGTTTACAGCTGAAACCTAAACAAAACTATTCCTTTCAATAAATCCTTCCGTCGGATTTTTATTCCAAAGGATAAAAATCTTTGATTGACGGCGCTTTCACATCAATTCTGGTTTCTGATCCAGATTACCAACCAACTGGGATGTTCACATCAAACATTAAAAACAAAGGGTTTTACTGTTACATGGTCACTGTGTTTGTAACCAACATAGGGCGAGTGGAAGGACGCAAGACATGCCTCTAAATATGACGTGAGAGAAAATAATGTCCAATGTATTTTAAAGAAATTAAACATGTGTGGCACTACTGAAGTTCCTGGATTTGAGAAGGAAAAAAATAAATAATTACAAAAAAAGATCAGGTGGAAGAAATTTACCATCTTAGTTCTAAACCCGGTGCTATATTAAATATAGATTTTCGTACATTGAGGTCAAAGTGTATTTGTGCAGCTAGGTGTTAGTACATGACAGCGAGAGTCGTCAAAACAGAAGTTGTATTTGGAAACAGATTATCATCCTCTGAAAGAGAACCCTTGGTCCAGGGGACCGGTGTCGGTCAGTAGGTCATTTGGTACCGGGCCGCAGTGGGACAAAATGAAATATTGTCCTTCAGTTTTACTAATTTACTTCATTCTAAAATAATCCAGTCATGTCCCTTTACTGTTTTCATTCAAAAATAATCTGTCAATGTTTCAGAACAACAGGTCATTCAGACTCTGATAGTGACAGAAGAAAGTCTGAAAGAGGTTTTATTTTGAGAATTTAATGATCCTTCAGTGATGGCACAGTATTAGCGGTCCGCAGTTGCGGCCGATACCGGCTGACCGGTCCATGGTGCAAAAAAGGTCGGGGACCGCTGCTCTACATGACGGGTAAATATGTTTTAAACACTGAACTTGTGGAGGAAAGAATAAAAAGTTCAAAAAATAAAACATAAACCTTAAAAGAAATTTAAGTTGTTTTTTTTTTTTTAAATACTTCAAGGATTTTATTTAGACACTTACGTCCAGACTGCTCAGGAGTAAGAACCAGGACGGTGAGCTTGGTGGAGTCTGATTGGCCGATATTGTCTGTGACAGTCAGCTGGAACTTGTACGTCCCAGAAGTCAAGTTGGACACAATGATCTGGTCTTTGAAGTTGGTTGTCTACAAGGATTGAAAGGGTGAATGTTGCAGAATTACCCAGAGTCTGTTTTAAACAGGAAGTCAACGCCACGTTCTTCACTCACCTCGATGGTAGCATACGGGTACGGAGTTAGCATTTGCCACTGATAGCTTGCAATACTATGGTCGTCTTTGCTCCTGATGCCGTTGAGTGTCACACTGTCCTGTGGTTGGACCACAAGGTCCGGTCCACCATTAGCCACAGGGGGGCGGTCACTTTCATCTGCGGAGACACCAAGTGTTCAGTATGTGTCAGAAGAAAGCAGCGTTCATAAAACGATCACACACTGGGCCATAACCTGAATCTTTGAGTCTGGACCAGAGATTTTAGGCACACCTATGCAAACTACGGCCCGGGGGCCAGACACAGCCCGCTGGACTTTCTGATCGGGCCCATCAAACGCTGGCACAAGGTATGTTTAAGACAAATCCTGTCTTTAATATCCTTCTATGTCATGCATTACATAAATTAATTACAACTTCTGTTGTTAGCACTAGATGGCGGTAGACATTAAACGTGCCAATTTATCTTTGAAAGTTTAGGTTTATTCTTGTACATTTTACCTAGATTATTTTGAAAAAAATTCTACATCCAACCTCGTTTCGGCCTGTGAGCCAGAAGTTTGCCCACCCATGACCTAACATAGGAAATGTTTTACAAAATTTACAAACGTTACATGCTGGAATTTGATGGAACCTGTCCTAAATGGCCTTTGGGTTCCAAGTCCAACCACAGGGGGGGGGGTGGTTGAACAGTGTCTTAGTCCGAGGAGACAGGCTGCAGTAAACAATGGCTGACCTGAGCAGGACAAACACCCAGGGTGAATTGGACTAAACAAAACTAGCACTTACACCGTATTCTGTTTTCTGGGTCATGTCCCACCGTGAAAAAACAATGTCCTTGGTAAGCTGAGCAGGCCAGGACCTTTGTTTTCCTGGTGCAAATTGCGACACAGAGCGAGGAAGCAGCAGAAAACAGAAACGTAAACCTGTGCACCGGGGGCCACAACGGTCCCGACGTGTACCAACACGCCAAAGTGGAGGCTGCTGCTCTAAATCTGTGGCCTCACAAGGAACTGCCGTGACGACGAGGGAATTCATAATTTGAGGAAGTTCTGACTGATGAAGGGATCAGCATTTTTAATGTTGGTGAGCGAGCGGCCCAATTAAAACTAATGAAGTGGTCCCTTGATCCTAATTTGGCAGCCAGTCATCTGCCTGATGATAAAACAAGCAACTTTATTGATGCTGGGATTTAAAAACTTTGGAGAGTTTTTTTTTTCTTTTTCACATCCACCCAGAGCTTTGAAATACAATACACCAATGTTTACATACCTGCATTAAGGGATGCATCAAAACAAACATGTTATACTGGTAATAATTAACTTTATGTACTGAATAAATCAAGCATTGCCAAATGTAAATAAAGTTAATGGTTTTACACAGTAAAACCATTAACCATACACTGCTGAAAATATATGTTTTGTAAAATCATTACAACTAATACAGTTCCAGAAAACCAAAAAAGTGAGGATTGGTGACTTTGAAGAACAAAGTACACTTAAGAAAGACTTTTTGTTGCTTAAACTAACAATAATAAAATGTAATAGTAAAAAATCATTTTCTGATCATCTTCTCTAAACTATACATAAACATAAACATACTTGAACAAAAACTTTGATTTTTTTTAAAATTTATATTGGATTTCTTTTTTCCTAAACTAAAAGAGTTTTTGTTCGTGAAAAACACCCCCATGACTGTTACAAAAAAATAAATATTGGATGGAAAAATACATAAAATAGATAATATGTATGAAGATGTTTTGGGTTTTTGTTTTACTACATTGTATGTTTATTTCTGAAAAATAAACGTACATTTATTTACCTACAAACAGCTCCAAATCTAGCTTCAGAAAAAAGGTAAGGTAAAAAAAAAAAGTGACGGCCCTGAAATTGACTTTCACGCACCACACCTAGGGCCCGACCCACCCTTTGAGAAACCAAATACTAACCACATTGATCCCAGAGATAAAGGACATCCCGTGGGAACACACACATATGAACGTTCAGCATTGTTATACGTAAAAATTCTTAAGCAAGAAGCTCAGACGATATGGGTGGCGCGGTCTTACTTGGAGGAGTGTCCACTTCCAGGTAGCTGTCGTACACGGACTCCAGGATATAGTTGATGTAGCCTTTCTTCCTAACGAAGCGACAGGCGTACTTCTTCTTGTAGAGACAGTCGAAGAGAAAGCAGGCCTTGACCGTTCCCTCCAGGTCCCCCCTCTCCATGAAGGCCACGTTACACCTGGGCTCCTTACAGCAGGAGGCCACGCAGTCTCTGTAACGCTCCAACTTGGGCGACGATAAGAAGGTCGCTCCGTCTTTCACCGACTCGTCGGTGTCGAGCACGAAGTCCTCCCGTCCGCTCTTGAATTGGGACAAACACGGTTCCCCTGTTTCCTGAGCTCTACCGAAACCGAACAGGGACAGGAGCAGGAGCAGGACACAGGCTCCCAGGTGTCCCCTGAGAGACACGGTCATGTTCGAAAGTCCCTTTTTTAAAAACGTTTCACAGTAAAGAAAAACTGACCGAAGCGACAGGTAGTGTAGACAGCCGCAGCCCCTGTGACGACGTTCAGACCGGAAACACAATCTAAAATGCCGGTTAAAACGTTGCGACGTCGAAGCGCAGCTGGTTTCGAACAGAGGTGACTGACAACTGCTCCTAAAGTGCTGTGAAACTCCCACACAGAGGACGAGTCAGTGGGTTGGTGTCGACAAAAGCCCACAACCAGCGACGACATTGGCCAGGTGACTCACCTGAGAGAGAGAGAGAGAGACAGAGAGAGAGAGAGATTCAGGAAGTGAAATTCCACTCCCGACCACTCGCCACTCCCTGCTGACTGACTGACTGTGGTAGTCAATGTGACAACAGTAAACAACCGTGTTAGAACACGGTGACATTAGTCCGTCAACAACTATTATTTCCCAGTCAAGTATTTTTAAATTAAAATGAATTCGATCTACACAAGTTAACGTCAATTAATATATACGTTTTCTCAAAATATTTATTTTATTTAAAACAATAAATCACTCATACGTAATGTGAATAAATGCCATTTTTATACATGTATTATCAGTCATTTAACACGTGACTTAATTTTAATCCATTCTATGCAAAAAAAGCAAACCGTCAAGTAGTTCAATTTATTTAAAATCTTATTTTTTTCCTGTTCAATTAAGGTCGTGAAAAAAAAAAACAAGGCCGAGAAAAATTAACCTGTATTTTTATTAATTTAATTTTAATTTTAAATTATGTCAGTTAAATTGGAATTCAATTAAATCTCCACTGTTCAATTCTGTCCCTTCGTTTATTTCAATGTATCTCAACTCAAATCTGTTTGATCAAGTTTTGTTTAACGTAAAATAATTAAAATATTTAAACTACTATGTTGTCTGGTCATCGTGTTTACCTAGTAGTTAGTACAGATGGATTAGCTTTAACAAAAGAAAGTTGTAAAAAAAATATGATGTTGGGAATTAAACTTTTTATTCTTTATCGCTTTAAACAAACATCAAGAACAGGGAAAGAAAATAAATTAAACGGAGTTAATTATTTGCTCATATTTTCATTTATTTATACCTGTTTTGTCACAACTGCGTGTGTTCTGTTGGTCTTTAAGAGTTTCCCCGTGTTGTCCACAAGATGGCAGTAGAAACACAGTAACAACAGCGGAACGGGGCTTTTTAAATGAAATGCAGTAAAACCGTGTGTATCCTATACAATGAAGTATTTCTAATGTCATGTACGTCGCTCTGAGTCATGTACTAAAACAAACACGTAGCGATACTGTGTAGATTCACATATTGAGTCATCGCACAACAGATCGCGGTGCGTCATGAAGCTACAAGTGAAATATTCCATCAAGTTGTCAACAGGAAGTTGTCGCTCACAATAGGAAATAGGGATTTCCCGTCGCATTTGATTTAGAATTAATTCAAATTTAAATCAGATTTTTGCTTGTTAATAAACCTGGATAAAATTTGAAGACAAGCTGTAGATCTCACTGTCAAAAATAAAGCTGTAAAACCCATTAGGAATCTCTCTCTTTTTTTTTCTTTCCATTTTTCTCCCAGCAGGTGCGGAGGCTAGGAGGCCCACCGCAGCTCTCCATCCCACACACACACAGAAAGCCTGGCAGAGCAGAACCAAGTAGCCTTAGATCAGATGAATGAATTTGTTTGGCCAGAAAGGTGATCCGCTCGAGGCTCTCAATAATTCAGAGTTTGTAACAGACGGTGCATCAGTGGGTGAACAGACGCAGCTAAGGCTGATTGATGGAGCCTGTCAAAACAAAAGGACGGACTTCATCATTCATATCGTAACAGGATCTGTGGAAACTATGCTGCCTGTTGACGGTGTCTCACATGTTAAAGAAAAACAAAAAAAACAAAAAACAAAAAACAAAGATGGTGCAGAGTGGTAGAAGAAATAACCTTGAGTTATGACTGGCCGTTAATGCTACCTGATGATATTTGACTTGCAGACATTGACGGTTTCCAGACAGAACTGCTCTCCTCTGTTCATCCATTATGAATGTGAGCGTAACAGAGGATGCCAATTTGACTTCAAGGCTTATTAAACGAGCGCCCGATAAAGGCCTACGTCTAAAGGACAACACGGCCACCACACTAGAGGGAGCCTGGCTCACCTGTCAGGGGGAGGCAGCCATTGTTCTGAGTGTTTGTGAACTACGTCCAGTACAAGGGAGCTCTCAGCATGTTCAACATGTGGAGCCCAGACTCAGAAGATCAGGATTTTAACTCACTATTATATTTGTACTATTATTATTATTATTACTATTATATCGCTGCACATTATACTGTTTTATATCATTAAATTACTACTGTATTATTACATTATCATTACAGTGTTTATATCAATCTATATCAAAACATTGCTATTATTACCGTAATATTTCTGCTTCATTCAAATATTATATTGTATTATATTACACTTTACCGTAATATCCTGACTATTGAGCGCACCTGAATATAAGCCACACCCACTAAATTTCAAAAGAAAAAACATAATTGTACACATGTACAGTTGTACATAGCCCGTAAAACTAGCCATGAATTAGCCACAGCATTGTTTAAGCCGCTTATAGACCGGAAAAATAGCGGCTAATAGACTAGAAATTACAGTAATATAATAATAATAATATTAATGTACAATAATATTATTATCACGTTTCTATTCTTCCTAGTGATAAATGTCCTTCTGTTCTGTTCTGTTCTTGAGTTTGTCACCTCACTTCTTTTACAGCTGGTGTAAATGTACAGCTGCACGTGACAACTGAACGTCTTGGAGTCTTTACCGATGCATATTAATGACCTTGACATATTCTGTCAGAATATAAATTAAAACACTAAAAAACAGCTCCGTCCTCAAATGTTTAAATGCAAGATTTGTTTTGTGTCGATTTGGCAGAAAATGTTAAGTTTTCAGACACGGTAACGGCGCTATCCGGACTCTTACCCCTCATCCACCTTTTTATTACTGCAATTGACCTACACACATCCACCTCCTATGACCCAGAGGAATCAGGAGATCAAAAAGCAAACACACACACACACACACACACACACACACCCTCTGTGGTGCACACACACACACACAAACAGAGGCATATCTCATTTCCATCCTGATAGTGCAGCCTGTGGGTGTTGGAGGAGGAGGGAAGGAGTGAGAGAGAGAGAGAGGGAGAGAGAGAGAGAGAGAGAGAGAGGGAGAGGGAGAGGGAGGCAGAGAGCCAGCATTACCGAGGGAGAACACCAACATCTCAACAAGATACCAGGAGATACGAATGGGAACAGCAGCTCTCAGGAACACAGATACAGAGACACAGTAAGACAGAAGTGTCACAGCCAGTGTGTGTGTGCGAGAGTGTGTGTGTGAGAGAGAGAGAGAGACACACACACAGCTCAGGGTGTTTCCACGGTTCTCCCGAGGCCGTGGCAGCCATGGCGTCAGAGCCCAGTACCCAGTCCAGGGTGATGTTCCAGGCAGATAAAAGAGAGGAGCCGGCCCACCGCAAGCTCGGCAAGCTGACAGTCAAATACAACCGCAAGGATCTGCAGAGGAGGCTGGACATAGAGGAGTGGATCGATGGACAGCTGCACCTGCTGTTCGACTGCGAGGTAAGACGGCGTGGGAGAAATCAGCCGAGTCAGACCCGTTATGTGTTAGGTGTCTCAGAGGGTGATACAAGTGTGCAAAGGTGGAAGTGACATGCTGATAGGTGTCTGTAGGGGGGGCGGAGTGGGGGGGGGTGTCATTCAAAATGTTAGTGATCTACATGGGATGTGGGGGTAATAAACAGATAACGGTTATTTTAGCTTATAGGCACTGGTGTGTCAAAAACACAGGAGTTTGAAAGATAAAAGAAAAAAAAAAGAAAACACAAAATGGTTACATTTATCCTATAGTTTGTACAATGGAATTCGAGTGTTCATCGTAAAGATTACCCATGATTCAAGGGTCAGAGAGATTAGACGTAAAGAATTTCAAGGGAGAATGAAAACGATCCGTACCAAAGCAAAAAGTAACGTCTGTAACTCAGATAAAGTGGAAATAACAAAAATAACATCGTAAAAATATGAAGGAATTCGAGACCATATATGTGCACTAAATATAAAAGCTATGGTACAATTTCACCTAAACATAGACAACATGTGGTTTTTGTAATTGTGAGTGTGTGTGTGTGTGAGAGACACTCGGGACACGATCACTATCTTTACACTATCTTTATGACATTTTTGGAATCTTCTTACTTACTTTTATGCAACAAACAAAGCTCATGGATGAATGGATGAATGGATGGATGCCTTTTGGAATCTTGTTACTTACTTTTATGCAACAAACAAAACTCGTGGATGGATGGGTGAATGGATGAATGGATGGATGGGTGAATGGATGTATAGATAGAACTTTAATATTCCCTTGGGAGTTCCCTTTGGGAAATGAAGGGTGTAGTAGTACACTTCAAGTGTTGTTTAATGTTCCTAGAAGAACAGGAAAGACTTTATACAAGTGTGTCTCTTTGTGTGTGTGGGGAGGGCATGGGTGGGAGGGTAGTGGGGTGGGGTTACATATGCATAATAAAGTATGCATCCCACATAAAGATCAGGGTCAACAATTTGCAGAGGCTTAAAGTATGAAACGTTCACAAAGGTCACATGAGAGGAATGAACGACTCTCCAAAATTAATGTTTAACCTCTGCAGAAGTTTCCTGGAAAACTGTTGTTGTAACAAAGGACATTAATAAAAAAAAAACAAATTTGAGATTTCATTTTAAGTAAAAAAAAAATTATCTATCGTAAACATATTCACTATGTTTGTCATGCAGGCATTAAGGGGTTTTAAAAGTTGAATGTTATTTAATGTGAGCCGGTATTTAGCTTTGTATTGCTAATCCAGCCAGAATTTTAAAAAGAGAAATATCACGTAAATTAGCCAAAGTAAAATGTGAAATCATATACAGCAGCACATGCTAACCAACTAGCTAGCCACGGACAATCAACAATAAGGAAAACATTACGTTAGCTTAAAACTAGCTTAAATTGGCCAATGATATAGCAACAGTGACCGGGGCTGAGCAAAGGTGTAAGTAATGTTTTGAACATGTTTGCGAGTAATAATTCTACTGAACGTTAAAATGTGCAACAGGTACAAACTTTTGTATAACTTCTGATTTTTAAGCAAAAATATAGCTAAAATAACCAGCACGTAGCCAAAAACCAAAGATACTCTTTATCAGGCAGAGCCAAAATATCAATATATCATGAACTGACCCAGCCGTGATTTAATGAAACAATTTCAATTTAATATAAAAAGATCCACAAACCTTTAATATTAATTTAATCTATATAAATAAAAGGAAAATGGTGTCACGTTTTTGTCATATCAATGTTGTGTATAACAGTCGTCAGCTGTAATCACGGCATCAGCTCCAACAACAACTCCACTCCTGTGTGGCAGGAGACGATCCACTTATGTTGGAGCCTCCAAATTGATTTGCTCTGCATTCTCAGAGGAGAAACCATGGCAACAGATGTCTCCTCACCCACACAGGACAGCAGGGCGCGCGGGGAAATTAGGGTTGTCAGTGGAGGAGCGCGACCTGCTCAGTGACGCTGCAGATCTGATCAAAGCTCCGCCCCAGCCTCAGGCCAGAGATGGTGTGAGTCAGAGGTGAAAGCTGTGACACGGGGTCCACAGTCGGCTCTGTCTGACATCATCCAGCGGCCTTTTCAGTATGACGCACCGAGGCTACTCCCACTACGTACATGTACATTTAGTTTTTGATTATAAAGCTTACGATTGGAGGCTGATTACGAATAAATACCAGACAGGAAGTTGGCCAGACATCCATCAAACAGAACAACATGGAAACATGAGACAATCGACAGACAATCGGAGTATTTCACAGTCAGTAAGAGTTGGTATTTATCAAAAAGGAAAGACGAATAAATAAAGTACAACAGGACGTACGTGAACGCAGACAGTTGTAGGAAGTCAATAGTGAGTGGACGGTCAGACATAATTCAACAAAGGTTGTTGTTTTGGTTAGTTTTTCTGAAGGATAGAAACCAGTGCATTCTAGTTTGGTTTTTATTTTAGTTGTTGTTTTATTGGTTCGTTTTTCTTAAGGAGAGAAAAGGAAACTTTCATTCCAAATCTACTTCCGACACTGGAATCAGTGCATTCTAGTTTGGTTTTTATTTTTTCCAATGCTGATGTGTTTGTGTAGGTCAGGTAATTTTGGGATTCAGTTCATGCACAGCCTGGTATACTGTACTATAGTTGTATTTGGTTGGTCTTGATAAGTTGTAAGGGTGAAAAAGTGGTTTAGAGCAGTTTTACCACAGACACCAAGGTTTCCCTGCAGTCCCGATGTTTGGGATTTAAGAAAATATCGATACCCTAGCAGAGGTCCCCGACCTTTTTTGTACCAAGGACCGGCCGGCCGGTATGAGTTGTTACTATTACATTCTCAAAATATAACCTCTTTCAGACTTTCTTCTGTCAGTATCAGAGTCTGAATGACCTTTGACCTGTTGTTTTGAAACATTTAAGCAGCAAAACAGTAAAGGGATATGACTGGATTCTTTTGGAATGAAGTAATGAAGTAAAACTGAAGTACATTTTTTTACTGTGGTCCCAGTACCAAATGACCTACGGACCAGCACCGGTCCCCAGACTGGAGGTTGGAGACCCCTGGTTTAGAGAGAGTCAAATTGACAGTAGAATAACATCTGTATTTAGGCGTTTTCGTTTGATATATTGTCTCTCAGCTAGTTTCGGTTTAAAAACGTCTCCAGAACTGAGGGCGTGGGAATTTTAATATTTAACACAAGGCTCCTTTTTTATGAGTTTACAGCTGCAGGCCTGTTTCCTCGTGGTAATACATGGTAATATGCTCGTGAGGTGGAGGGTGGCATTAACAACATCCACTGAAACCAGGACATGCAGATGACAAAAGCCGTCTGTTTGCTCTTTTCAGTCGGTCCCAGAAACACAGGATCGCTTCATACGTCCTGACGTGTCAGTGTTTAGTACAGACTACGTGACATAGTAAAATAACCGATGACGCCACAGATAAACGATAGACATTTGCTGACGTCCACTAACCACAGAGCGAGACAGTCAGTGCTCTAAAGGCTTTGTGGGTAATTATGTAGTCTACTGGGCAGAGTAGATATGAGCCGTCAACAATATTAATTTATAGCTCATATCAGAAGTCTTCAGTGGAAATTAAGTTCGTTTTAATTCTAATCTTGCCGTCTGGTGGGGTGGAGAGGTAATGCACAGCAATTTTGAACTTTTTTGAGGAAAATTTGAGGAAAATTGAAGTACATGGTTTTACCACAGGAGACAACAAATATAAGTAGACTGAACTGCATTGGGGTAACAGTAACGGTTTTTTTCACAGTTTTTGTGACCTCTGCGGGGTCCTATGTTCTTTGTATTGTAGACCTAAACAAATAGAAATAATTTTTTGTCTCTATTTTGATGATATATTACCTGTTTAACACAGTTTTTTTAAATACAGCTTTTAAACAGTGTTAAATTACATCATTTGAACATATTGACCATATTATTTCTTTTTTTTATAAAATTTTCTCAGGAAGAGTAATAACACACACATTCAAATTCAACCAAATTGTCTTGTTCTCAGTCAAACATTATCCCTCTGCTCCTCTGGCTGTCATTATTTGCATTTATTTGCAAACACTTCCTTCTAAACGTCTGACTTTTTCTCCTCACAGCTGCCACTGTCTGTCTGTTTGTTTGTTTTTACTGCCCCGTGTATTGGAACAGTATAAAATACTTCGAAAACCATTACTTTCTTTAATTAGGGATCAACATTAAAGCACTTTCCAGCTCTGGCTTTAATTGATGTTTAACATTAAGTAAAAATGATATATTTCTACACAGTTTATGGAAGTAATAATAGTATTATCTTTGTATTTAAACGCATCATTGTTTGATATTAATGTCTTACTTGTCCATTTGGAGTACACAGAGACATGTGTGTTTCGCAGCAGCTTGGGTCGAATTAGGCACGACTTGTCTATGAGTCTGTGGCCTGAGCAATAAATTTTGCATAGGCTCAGGGCAACTATACTCTGTCGATTCTGAGTCTTCCGCATGGAAGCGTTTACCATCGGTCCCCTGTGTCACCACCTGAATTATTTAGCCACAGCTCCAGTTCACACAGGAGCAGCCCTGGCCAGGAGTGGCTGTCTGATCACAGAAACTTCACACCTTTTAAGAAATGCTAACCTGGTTCAAGCTGATGAGCAAATCTTACACACTGGGAACTATATACAAAGTCTGTTGTCTTTAGCCTCTGGTCTCTTTAACCTTCATTAAAGTAAATTTGAAAATGGTAAATCATTTAAGGACATGAAACCTGGATAAACAAATGTATAAGTCAGAGCTCACATTCAGAACTCCCTGTATCTGTATCGTACTACAATCATATCAAACATACTACTATCAAAATACAATAAGAGATTTGGTTCAATAATCTATTGGTTATCTCGTGGTAGAATCACAAAAAGATAATGACAATAAAAATGGATGAAAATAAAGGTTTTGCAATCATTAGGATTACTGGGATAACTGGAGGTT